AGCCTCAGTCAGCAGAAGAACACTTGAAGGTAAAGCTCTGAGGTTTTCGGTTTGGAGCGTGGCATGTACGGCTACGGACTTGCACCAGCAAACCTTCTTTTTATGTGCCTATATGCATATATATATATACAGATAGATACAGATAGATAGATAGATAGATAGATAGATTCACACATATGTTCTTTATGGGATATTTGGGCAAGGTGCCATTCCACAACCCAGAAATGCGCCAAAGCGTCTGTGCGTGTTGGAAGCAGCCCGGCAGGAATTCGAACATGAACCTCGGCTGAAACGAGGGTTTCGATGTTTGCCTCTGAAGCCTCAAAGCCCTAAAAGCCAGGACAGACGAGTGAGAAGTGTGGCTGTCGGCCGTGGAATGCTATGGGCTGAAGGCTGACGGCGGTTTTTTGGGTTGTGTCTTTTGGTCCCTCGCCTTTGGGAGAATAAGGGCTTCGTTTAGGGTTTTGGGTTTACGGTTCAGGGTTTAGGGTTTAGGGTTTAGTTTTGTCCGGCGTTGGGATTTCCCCTCTTACGCCCAAGTCGGGAACGTGCCGTCGTTGATGCCATCCGCCAGGAAGTGATTCGTGAGGATGCACATCTCTCCTCGGACGAGGTCTGCTTGGGTTTAGGAATGTAGAATTTTAAGGGGTTTAGGGTTTTTTAAGGCTTAAGATTTAGGGCTTGAGGGTTTAGGGATTTTTAAGGTTTAAGATTTAGGGCTTGAGGGATCTTGAGGGTGTAGGCTTCAGGCATTCGGACGGGCAATTTCTGGGGTAGGAAGATTGAGGTTTTCCTTCTGATCGTAAGATGGAATGAAATAGATTACTATGCTAATCAAGCAGTTCCACGGGGGAGTCTTCGGTGAAGTGGTCCGGGCTTGGGTTTTGGAGTACTTGATCAGATCAACATGCAACCTCCAACCTGCAACCGTCTGGGATTTTGAGTTTGGAACTTACATTTCAGATGACAGTGCTTACCGCCCAGGGCTTGCGAACGAGTACAAAGGCGAGGAGACGAAAACCTTCAAACTTGTCCCCCGCCACGGGCCGGCAGAAACCTGTCTCACGAAACTCGAAAAAAAAAACAGAACCCAACCAAAAACCTAAATCCAAAAATACTGACCCTTTTCCTCCAGAAAACAAAAGGCAACCACTGTGAGGAGAAGCAGTCTGGAGATTCTCGGCGGAACTCCCTCAAAAGCCCTCAAAACTAAAAAGCGCATGCCCGGAGTCGATGTCCGAGGGCCTCCCAGCTGGAGCGAACGGACTGAAAAGCCTTCGGGTCCCTGGCTGGGCTGCGCCGTCAGCTTTTCTGTGGGGTTTTTTGCAAGGGAGATCTAGGAGTTGTCATGGGCCTTATCGCTTGCCAGAGGTTTGCTAAAAAAAGGATATGATAAGAGGGTTCTGTACGCGCATAAGAGGGTTGTGTAGACGCAGTACAAGTCCACAGACTTTCGTGAAGGGCTTTCTAAATTTGATCAATGCTGTATTGGGGGTTCTGTGACGAGCCTTCAAGTTAGAACATCAACCTCCGCCATGCCATGTAAGCACCCGGCTGCCATGGACAATGAAGCTCCCACTGGCCCAAGCCAACCGATTCTGCACAGCTTATGGTTGAGGGTTTCAGGGTTTAGAGGTTGGGGTTTCTGAACCCTAAACCCCTAAACCCCTAAACCCCTTAAACCCTAAACTCTGAACCCCTAAACCCTTCAACTTAAGCCTAAACTCTGAACCCCTGAACCCTAAACTCTAAACCCCTAAACCCTAACCCCGAAACCCTAAACACTAAACTCTCAACCTCGGGTCCCTCCAGGAGGGCCTGGCGCGCGCCAGGCACGCCAGGCGGACCAGCACCAAGTCTACCGGGGTCTCCTTCAGGTGGCTAGTTAGTTCTCTAAACTAGGGTCCCTTTTGGGGTCCTTTTTACAAGGGTGCCGTACGACTTTGTTTGGGGACCTATAAAAGGAACCTAGTTCAGAGAACTACCCATCTGATTGTTGCTGACACCCTCGCCTCAATAGACATGTTTAGGATTGTCATGGCTGCTTGGGTTGAGAAGTGTCAGCGTTTGTCCTCATCTTCGCGACCAGAAAGCCCTAATCCCATCAGTACGCAGTCTGAAAAGCTAAGCCTGCAGGCCTCAACCCCTTGCCTCTTCACCCAATAGTAGAGGATTTGTATGATAAGGACTATACTATAGGGGGAAGCTTTTCATCCAACACCCCCAAATCCTAAACCCGAACCCTCGGCCCTACCATCCTGCACCCCCAACCACAAGCACCCGTCAACCTGACCCAGAATAGCCAGTATATACTGGATATACTGGCAAAGACACCATCAAACAACACTGCTGTGGTGGTGGTGGTGGTGGTTGTCGTTGAACACACTCCTCATGTGGCGATTCCGGCTCATCATAAACCTTAAACACGCCCTGCCCCTCCCCCTATTGGGCGAGACCGCTTCCCCATATAATTAAACACGCCCCCTCATCACATACCTTCAACACGCACCCTCAGTTGCCAATTCCGATTCTTCACTTTGGCAAAACTGCTAAGCCCGCCCCCAACTTTTCACAGACCCGTGGCCGCAGCAGGGCTGAAAAAGAGCGAGGGGGATTGGGGGGGCGCAGCCCCCCAATTTGCAACCACAATGTCTNNTGTCTCTATCAGGGGTTCTGAAAGGACCCATGTGCGCACTGTTTTTGCTGGCAGGATGTCATTTTGAAGCGAAATTGCACGGCGGCTTAAACAAGCGGGGCGGGGGGCTGACAAAGCAGCGCAAAACACTGAGAGTGAGCTTGTTATGTGAAGGATTGTCGATGGTGTCTTGATGCATGTCCGGGAAGTAGTTTGCATGCCATGCACACACACACACACACACGCACGCAAACACACACACACACACAGAGACAGACACACACACACACACACACACACCCACCCACACCCGCGTGCGCGTACTTAACAGACACTCCAGATAGATTGTGTTGTTGTTGCTGTTGTTGTTGAGCACATATCTCAAACACGCCAAATCGTTTGTCGATTGCAGATCATCATACGTCCTAAACATGCCCCTCGTTTGGCGATTCCGGTTCATCATACTTCTTAAACATGCCCTGTCATGTGGTGATTCCGTCCCATCATAATATACTCATGTTGCGATTCCGGTTCATCATATATCTTAAACAACACACACACACAAACACACACACACACACAGACACACACACACACACACGCCTTTCCCTATTGGGCTATTCAGGTCCATCATATATCCTAGACACGCCGCTTTGGTGTGGCGACTGAGGTTGATCACATATGATAAAGGCACGCCCCTCATCATATGTCTTAAGCACGCCCCCTCGTTTGGCGATTCCGGTTCATCATAGATCTCATTTGCTAAACCCGCCCTCAACTTTTCACAAGCCGCAGCTTGTGGCCCGCGACCCGGGCGACCCGCAGCAAGGCTAACAAAGAGACCGGAAGGGGTTGCGGACCCGCAGGACCAGAGGACTAGCGACCAGAGGACCAGGGGATCAAGGGCATCAGAGGACCAGGGGCCAGACCAAGGACCAGGGCACCAGAGGACCAGCGGCCTAGGCCAACCCTACCAAGGGCCCCAGACAAGAGCCGACGCTAGAAAAAAAAAAACAGGGCCCCCTCCACAGCCTGTCCCTAGACCATACGTAACCCGTAAGCCCAAGCCTTTCCAAATGTAAGCCTCTATAGGCTCGAATGAGTGAAGAAGACACCCGTAGACATCGAACTCGGGCCCTCGTCGAAAAAGGCCTGCGGGTGGCACAGCGCCCTTGCCCGTGACGAAAGGAAGCCCCAGTAGATGCCTTCTGGAGTGCCTGCCGCGATGGTGTACTCCAAAACATGTATGTAAGTATGCATGCATGCATACATACATATGTATATACACATACATCTATGTATGCGAGTGGGTGTATGTCTGTATATGTCTGCCTGCATCTATGTATGCGTGTTCCATCTCTCTGTTTCTCTACCCATCTGTCGATCCGTCCATCCATCTACTTATCTGCCTATCTAGCTGTATACCTTCCTACCTGCCTACGTACCTACCGACCCACCATTCATCGATCTCTCTATCTATCTTTCTACCTGTCTACCTATCTATGTACCTGGGTACCTATAAACCATATGCTCTGGAACCCTAAGCCTTCTATATGTGATATTTCAGTTTCCAGCTGTCGGGTCTGTTCGGCCGCGAGTACTTGGCTGAATTGGAACCGGGTTTAGTGTTTAGGGCTTAGGGCCTCAATAGTAAGAATAGCGTTTTGGGCTAGGTTACACTTGAATGATAAGGGGCTATGGGGGCATACTGTCGCGAACAGACAACCTGTTCTTCGCTTGGAAACCCTTCTAGGGGAGTGACCCACTGTTTTTGAGACGGCAGCGTTGCAGGAAACTGACCGCCACGAAGAAGCCGACCACAAACCACGGGAGTCCCTCCGCAAAGACAAAGCGCCGACACTAGGTTGGTACACCCGAAGGACACTGTGGCCCCATGATCAAACCCTAAGCTAAGAGACTCCATTAGCCAACAAAACAAGGAGGCAACTTGTCCTCAGTGCGCCCCTGGAGTCCTATCTAGCAGGCAGAGAACTCCGGGCCCAGGTATACGTAAAGTAACCATAGTTGCATTCATTGTCAACACCCAAGTAAAGTACTTATAACCCTACTTACTAACCCCCCCATTTTGTTAATAGTAGGCTTTCAGTGTATATTCTAGCATCGTGATATTAGGGACTGCACGCCATTACTGCCAACATTCCGAGCCATGTTACATCTTTCGGCTGGGAGAACTTTTGGACTTGCGGTGCCCGACTGGACCTCTGTACACCGTCCTGAGAAACATTGCACAGGAATGGGTCCTGCTTAAAAATCTGAAGCCGCCAAGTTTTTGCTTAGTGTTTCGGGCTTGGGGTCGAGGACTTCGGCGCTCACAGCTCAGACAATCCAGGCCCCTTAGGCGAGCCTAGGGTTTAGGGTTCAGGGTGAGTAGCTCTCGCAGCCGTTCAGCATAAAGAGTCAGGTTGCCCTTCTCCCTGGCTCTCTTCGAGTAGGCAGTGTGTAGAATAAGCAATCGGTGGTCGCTCTCCAGACACAGCAGGCGAAGTTGCCTCATCTCCTCCTTACCGAGGACGCCTTGCTGCTCCACGACATCTAGTAGCCTCAGGACCTCGGCCCAGCTGCTGACGTCGCCAGGTTTTGGAGGCAATACCGTACTGACAGCGCTTGCATTCGGCTGATCCTCGGTTTTCATGAAGACCTCCATGGATCTTCCCACCAGGAAGGGGATGAAGATGATCGCCGAAAGCGAGGCCACCACGGAGGCAATCTTTGCCTGTGGATTCAGTGGGTACCACGGTGGATCGCGACCCGTGAAGATGTTGACCATGTAGATCAGAGCATCCTCGAAGGTGCGCTCCGCCACTTCCAAATCTGCGTCTGGGTTTTCAAACGCGTACAAGACAGTGGCCGACACAACGACGGTGCCGAGCAGGGAGAGCAAGACCGCGATGATTTGCTGACTCACGGTCACAGTTCTGCTCACCATGCCATCAGGGCTGTTCCCATAGGAAGGCAGCGCAATGCGCAGCAAACGGAAGAATCTGCCGATTTGCAACAAATCCGTGGTCTTCTCGAGCGCGGGACCGCCTATCAGCCGTGCCGGAAGACAAAGCACTGGCAAGCTGCTCGCCAGATCTAAGACTCCCTTTCCCGTGAAGAGCCAGGAGATATTAAATTCATTCACCCAGAATAGAAGCAAAAACTTGACAAAGAAGGATACATTGACAATGTCCTCGACTTGCTGTAGAAACAATGTACTGGCGAGGTTCGGGGAAACCACGCGCGTCACGAAGCACAAAGTTCCCAAAGCGACGAAAAAACTTTCCGTCACTCGATATGGCAATGGTCCCGTTTCCTCTGAGAAAATTAAATAGCCTTTGAATGCCTCCAGCTTGTCTTCTAACACCACGTCCATCGATGAACTGGTCTCACTTTGCATCGCATCCCGATCTCTCTGTAGGCTTTTCAGTCCTATTGAGGACTCGTCTCCATTCGTATCCAGTTCATCGGACCCATTAACAGGAGAGGTAGCGCGGAAGGCACGGATTGGACGGCGAGAGCTGTGCAGCTGGCAACTCGCTTGGCTAAGCTTGGACCGGCGTTGTAGGACCTCGGCCAGAGCTGTAGCCACAGCCCCGCCCACGAGGACAGCTCGCGACCCCTGCAATGCTCGCTGAGGATGCGATGTGCAAGGAGCTTGCAGCGCCGGAGGTGGCACGGTTGCAGGCGATTTTTTGTGAAGCGGTCGAGCCTGAGCCTGGAGAGTCAAGGCCATGGCCCGGTTGCGAATCACCTGACAAGCCTTTTGGTGACCAGGCGGGTGAACTCATGATCTACATAAGCTGCTTCTACAGGCAGAATGTGCACCTTGCACTTATCTTGAGGGCCAACGCCGGAGGTCCTTGATACCGCTTAAGCCTTCTGCGACAATGCATCATGCCACGGGGGCCTCAACAGAGAAACCCCAGCGTCGGAGTACCTCACCCAAGGGGCCATTCCCCCGGGCCAAGATTTCGAAAATCGATTGAGAAATCCGGCCTTTCATCAGCTGCTGCAGCATGCGGATGCCTGCACACAGAGTAGTGTACTCAAGTTGTTGATAATAATCCAAGAACTTTTGTGTAGACATCAAAGCGGGCAGTGTCAGTGGGAATGAGACAGATTCTGACATACCAACCATGGTGCTAATAATGCAGCAACCATCACTACCACGATGTTCACTCTCGCAGTCTCTTCCAAGCGGGTTCGGCGGAATTCTGGCGAAGATCCTACAAGCTGCCCTAAACCCCAAACCTGGTTCATGCATGCTCTTCCGGTCGAGGGTACCTTTAGGAGCATCCCTTAATTGTTCCTTCAAGGGGGCTTAAGGCTTCCCAAAAAGGGTTCCTCTACGGGCAGTCGAAGCAGACTCTCCGTAGCAAGATGCGGACCCTGACTCACGAAGGACTGAAGGTCTCTTCGTGTCCGGGCTTTAGGGGTGCATCTCTATAAAGGCCTTAATCATTAGATTAGGGTTTTGGGGGGTTATATAACCAAAAACTATATAAAGGAGTGCTAAGGAATGGGTGGTTATCCAGGCTTCTCTTTGATACGGTTGCTTGCGGCTTCGCCGGGCACGGAACCCCAACTTCCCACAAACCTTGCCATGCCCTTGTAATTCTTTGCTAGACAGGTTCCGACAGGGATCACTATATGGTTTGCAATAAGGGTTCGGTCTACAGGTGTTACATGACAGGTTGCATGAAGAATTTACTAGGAGTTCTAACATGAGCCGCTACTGACCAAACCGTCCACAAAGTGCAGCAGTTATAGATCCGGAACCCTAAACCCTAAACCCTAAACCCGGCTGCATCCGACTGCCTGCGATGGTGGTCTCCGCATTCTTTCTGGTCATGAACCTCAGCTCTTCTTGCCAGGTCCCTTGCAGGATCCCAAAACTAGAACCCCAAATGAAACCCATCTTGCTGGTAGAATCCTTTTTCCGGTAGAATCCTAAACCCTAAACCCATCACCCCAAACCCTAAACCCTAAACCGCCTAAACCCTAAACCCATGAACCCTAAACCCTGGTACAGCAGTTCAGGGGAGGCCTTCTTGAAGGCTCCTGTCTTTCAGATCCTTTAGGGGGGGCCGGGTCTCTTGGGCTCAGGTGTCGGATGGCGCACCTCCGAACCGACAAAACTCATACCTAGCAGTGACCAAACGACTTTGCACCGAAGTATAGGGTTTCGGGCTTCGGATTTAGGTCGCTGAGATTCTGAACCGCGAGTCCCCAAAAGCCCACCGGAATCCAAAACATGAACGTCAGACACTGTCCCGGACACTGACAAGGATTCAAAACATGTAAACCCTGAAAAATCCCTACTCGAGGCACATGGGTAGTTTTCTACATCAGGGTCGCTTTTAGGATCCTTTTAATAAGGGTCGCCGCCAGCTGTTGTTAAAATAAGGGCCCTAGTTTAGAGAACTACCCATATGAAGACTTAGACACCTTTTTTGAGGGGTGGGCTTCGATCTTTCAGACCGTCCTAGCGAGAAGTCGCTTCAAAGATGCCCCTGAAACCCTTTCTTGTGCCACTCAAACTAGAGTTTCGGGGTTCAGGGTGGACAGTCTAGCCAGTCTCCAGACCCCTACCCTGAAGCCTGGACTCGGAAGACCCTGAAGCCTCAACTCTTCCAGAAACCCGAGCCCCTGAACCCTACATGGGGAGTTCTCCAAATTGGGGTCCCTTTTTAGGTCCCCAATATAGTACGGCATCCTTATAAAAGGGACCCTAAGAAGGGACCCTAATTTAGACAAGCACCCCACAGAGACTTCCAACCCTGAGGCTCGTAACGGAGGCTCCCTCAGACGCCATATTGACGCAGCAAAAAGGGGGGTCAGGAACTAAGATGGGGCAGGGGCCTGGGCATGACGCTTTTGGGCTCGGATTTTGGGGGGGTGTGCTGCTACTTCAAGACTTTCTACCTAAACCCTAAACCCTAAACCTAGTTCCTAAACACTACGCTGCAGCTCGAAACCCCGAAGCCTAAGCCCTTTAAATGCGAAGCCTGATCGCCGAAGCCATAAACCTCAAAGCCCAAGCCTTACGCCCCTAAACCCTAAACCCTAAACCCCAAACCCTGAACCCTAAAGCCTTAACCCTGAACCCCAAACCCTATAAACCCTGAACCCTAAAGCCTTAACCCCAAACCCTGAACCCCAAAGCCTTAACCCTGAACCCTAAAGCCTTAACCCTAGACCCGAAGCCATGAGCCCTAAAGTCCTAAAGCCCAAACCCTGAACCCCAAACCCTATAAAACTATAAACCCTGAAGCCCAAACCCTGAACCCCAAACCGGAAACCCTGAACCCTAAACCCCAAACCCTGAGCCCCAAACCCTGAGTCCTAAAGCCCAAGCCCCCCAAAATACCACAGCAGGGAGGGGCCTGGAGCCCTCGCCTCCCAGGAGACCAGACATGAACCCAAGGAGGAAGAGGATGTAGAAGCGGAACACTTCCTGCCAACAATAGGGCTTGGGGTTTAGGGTTTAGGGTTTAGGGTTTAGGGTTCAGGGTTTAGGGTTTGCCAACATAGGGGTTTCAGCACTCGCACTCGGACATGTAAAGCTTGGTACACTTCTCGACTTGTGCGTGTCATCCTTGCGCAGGGGCCATGCTAATCCTCTCTGTACCGTTCCAATTTTATCGGATGATCCCCGAAGGGAATCCATAGGGGTTTAGGGTTTAGGGGTTTGGGGGTTTAGGGTTTAGGGGTTTCGGGTTTAGGGTTTGGGTTTAGACTTTAGGATTTAGAGCTTCAGCGCCCACACTCGGACACTCCAGGCGAAGGATTGGAGTTCAGGGTTTTGGGCTCTCACAGATTTTGGGGTGCTCTCAATCCGAGTATCTCCCACGAAGAGAGCTTTGGTTGTTGCAGGCTCGTTTCTTGACTTAGGTTTCTCTAAAGGAATTGGTATTGCGGTCCGGGCGCATGCATCGGTCGGTTTCTAGGATAGCACCTGAAACCGTAAACCCCAAAGCCTGAGGTATGCTGAGGTTAAAGACGAGTGTGCAGAGGTGGTCGACGACACGAGGTATGGCCATCTCGGACACTTCGCTCTCACCACCCAAACAGCGGGACCCTCCTCATCGGCCAATACCTTGAACCCTGGCAGTCGTCCAACACACCCGTCCCAAACATAGCTTAGGAAGCGAGGTTCTCGGTGACAATGACCTCCATGTGTAGGAAGGCTTATTGAACGGTCCTGTCTGTAAAAAAAGACCTATGCCAAGAAAAGCCACCGGTTATTGGCTCCTCGCCCTTGTCATGGATCATGTCCTGCCTCGGTTCGGGCTTCCAGCCTACCGATATGTAGTCTCAGAAGCTATTGAAAGTGTGTGTTTCTTGCTGTCTTCCTATGTATGTATGTATGTATGTATGTATGTACGTATGTATGTATGTATGTGCATATATTTCTGTATGCATGTATGTCCGCCTATCTGTCTGTTCATCTAACCTGTCGGTGTGACTGTGTGCATGCGTGCATGTATACCTATTTGGAGCATTCATTGGTGCCACTTGTTCCACCATTGTTGAGTTCACCAACAAGTCAAGCTGCAAGCCCATCACGCTGCCAGGCACGTTCTCGCCTTGAAGCATCCTTGGCACTTGGCACCGCCAATCCATTCGCCACTTAAGACGCGTACATGGCAAAGTAACATCCAACACGGTTTAGGGTTTAGGCTTTAGGGTTAACATCGCGACAACACTCAGTGCAATCAGAACAGCAATCGTAACGACAATTGGATGTGGGGTTTTGTGCGGCTCCGTTCACTTCGGAGAATTCCTGATGCAGGGGTGGGTTGAAGCATACCTACAATATCATCGGTGGTTTTGATTGGTGCCAAAGTTCATCAACAGCTAACTTACTTGTACCCTTCCTTACAAGTACCTATCAACCTTCAGGTACAGGATTTTGGAATACATAAGAAGCGCTGTATAATCCAGCGTGTGTTTCTTAGTCAAGGGCACATGTCTTCTATAAGGGTATTGGGTTCTCTGGGCAGTCCCTAAAGCCAAAGCCTTCGCAACTTCGAGGCCCAGCAACTGTGCAAGGTTGAACTGCTCGTGGATTTCCAGGGCATTCTTGACGAAGTTCAGGGCATCGTCGCTCAAGAAAGAAACCTGAAAACCGGAGAAGTGTGGCTGAGCCGTGAAGATCGAATGGACAGGAAGCCATCAAACCTACAGACCTCCGAGAAGCTGCAGATATGCAGGCAAAACCTCTGGTAACTGCCACGATATTTCTGTGACAAACCCTTCTTTTGAACCAGAGCTGGGACAAATGCCTGGACGTGAGGAACGGACCTCAAACCCCAAAGGCTCAATCCGAAATCTTGTTGAAGAAACCCTAACTCCAAAACCCGAAAGGAAAACGACCTCAATTTCGGACCAGGGGCGCAGGTGGGGCCTTTAGGATTTAAGATCCAGGGTCCAGGGTGCAGGGAGTTCGAGATTTAGGATACAAAGTTTAGGATTTGAGGTTTAGGGTATATGGCCCTGGAAGTCTAGAGTTCGCGAGTTTAGGTTCAGGGTTTTGGGGGGCTAGAGACTAGCGTGTAAGGTTTGCGGCAAGAGGTTTTGTGAGGTTCAGCGCTAAAGTGTCTTTGCTGACGTCGGGACTGCAAAGAAGACATGCTTGTGCGGTCTCAGACACCGAGGGGACGACGCATCTCTCGTGCTCGATGAGATACAGCCTTGCTTGCTGATCGAAGGCCCCTACATGACCTTGAA